TTAGAAAATAGGAAGAACTGAGGGAGCAATTTGGCGATAAAAGCACATGTTTTTACATCTTGAACAATGCACAAATGTTTATTTCCCCTGCTGGCATTGGTAATGATGCTTTTTCTTATGTGTGGCAGTGTGCACTGATGGGTAATTGCCAAAACCTTCAATATGGGGAAGTACTTGGCTGTCTGCCGTACTGCGCACCTGAGAGTCACAGTTCCTTTGCATGATTTGGTGCCCTCTTCTAGTCCTATTTTCTGAGCCAATGTCAGAGTTTCAGGATGCTTTCATGTGAAATAAAAGGTGTGCACAGGGTTTGTTCAGACCAACAAGATGTCAGCAATGTGCAGTCCCTTTAAGGGATGGTCAGCTGTGCTGCCATAAATCTGGTCTTTTTTGGGCACTATACTCGGAAGTGGATCACTGGGTTTAAATGTTAAAATGGGTGGGAACTCTAGTAATATTTGCTGTCTGTGCTTTTTACAGTAACTCTTCTCTTAGAGCGTTTTGTTTCTTTCTTCTTCAGGCTCCCGTGGGGCTTTTTGTGAAGTGAGACCAGATGATAAAAGAATCCTGGAATTCTACAGCAAGCTGGGTTGTTTTGAAATTGCTAAAATGGAAGGATTTCCAAAGGATGTTGTTATCCTTGGAAGAAGCCTGTGAAGTGCTTGACAGTGAACTGTTCCAGTACTGTAGTCCCTTAACAGCTGGGCAGGTAGTGGTGGGGATCTTCATATGGTCTAGCTGCACAAAGCCAGCAATAAGCCAGCTTGGTAGAAGGGGCTATGTGAAAATCACCCATCACGCATTCAGACTAATTTGTTGGAAGAGGATAATGCTGCTGAAAACACTGTTTTAACAAAGAGAAACCTTGTCCTCTCCTGGTCCTGTGTGAAGTGCCAAGGAATCTTGCATGGGCTATAGCTTCTTGGAGGAATCCCTCTCAATTGGTGCTGCGGTTAACAACAGTTCTCTGCATTCACATGTCAACAGAAAAGTGGTCTCTGTCAGAAGTATCTATAAAAATACAGGGTTTTTCTCTGTCTTAGAGCAGGATGTGCAACTGGAAGTTGCATGAGTGGGAGGGATTGCTTGTGTCAATCAGCAAATTTAAAGATAAGTAGCTACAGTTCTATTTTTGACTATCTTTATGCTTGTTGATAAAGCAATGACCCGTTGTCACTTCTAATGACCATTGGTTCAAGCTTTGTGCTTTGTTAGGGACAAATGTGCAGTGGTCTGTGGCAGAAGTCACTTAATGACAAACTTGTAAATTTTAGTGTATATAAACCTAGCCGTATGCTGACTAACTTTTTGTTTACCAGTTTTTGTAACTTTTTCTTTTGAAAAGTGAAATGGTATAGGTCCAAGATGGCACTTTTGAATAATCTAAAACCACAATGGAGAATGAACCTGTCCTCAGCACTGACTTTTCTTACTGTGCCTCATATCCAGGGCTAGAAACTGTCCATCTTGGGTAAGGGGAGCAGATCTCAAATGATCCTTCAGGCGGCAGTTTGTCACTGCTTGAGGTGGTCATCATTCTCCTGGGACTGAAACAGCAATTCACAGGGTGATCTGCTGAACCCATTAATTTCGGTAACATTCTCATGGGGTTGTGGATGAAAGACGGTGAGAGGGAGAGAGCTGGCCCCACAGCTGGGATTTGTCCTTGGAACAGTCATCATGTTTCAAAGCCTGTTCATACTAGTTTGATTAAATCAGGGTCTTCAAGTCCTGCACATTTGTATCAAATAACTTTTCTATAAGAAATGCCACAATAAGCACATTTTTACACATTATTTAAATGGTTACTTACTTTTAAATGTTCCAAGAGTTTAATGTTTTTACCCAGGACTGACATGTGTGGCTATGGGATGGAATCAGTGTGCTATGGGATCTGGTAGTGAGATCATTTATGAAATTGGTATTTCACAGAAGTCCCAGTGTCCCACATACATAATTGGCCAGTGGTATACACCTTGCAGTAGTACCTTGCTTCTTTCACTTGCTGCCATCAGCTGTCTTTTATCTTATTTTTTTATTTTCCTGGGTTTTTTTCAGTGGTGTGCAAAGAAATTTCAGTTCCTTTTACAAGCCTCCAGCTGCATAGAAGTTAGGCAACCTATAATGAATGGCATTGACTGCAGTAATGTTGTCTGCAGCCTGTAAGGAGATGCTGTGTTTGGCCTGGAATGGTCACATGCAGGATGTTTGTTCTTTTTTTCCTTTGCAGAATGTGAACAATTTTTTAATACGGTAGCGAAGTATTTAAGTTGAAACAAGTTCATTTCATTTTTTAGAAAGAGGTACGGGGTTGTGCTATGGGGTTTCATGTAAGTCAGAGCTGAATGCCACTAGTTTTTATACAGCTTTGAGTGCATGTTGAGTAGCTGATACCTTGATTTATCAGGTGGGAGAGTTTTGTTTCTTCATGGATACCAGAGTCAGCTTACTTTATCTGGATGCATAACATTGCAGCATAGGATGCTTGTGGCCTTATTTCTTGACTTTCAAGGAGTTGCCACATTTTCTCTTCCTATGACTTTGTTATTATTATAGAAGTTAATTGTATAAGCCTATGGAATGTCAGGCCAATACCATCATTCTAGGATTGTAAAGTGATATGTTGACATATCTTTCATGGTTATGAATTTTCATTAAGGTTGGAATGCCACTTTCATTAATCTGTTTTTAGATCAACAGTATCTGTAGCAGAAAAAAGCAACCTGTAAAATTGTATTTGAAGACCATGCGAGAAATAGAATAAAAATTGAGAAGTGAATGTAAATAAGAAATTTGTGTTTTGTGTGTGAGGTTCTAGAGCTGGAAGTGTTCACCGGTGTATGTTACATCATGCTGTATGTGTTGGATGCCCTCTGGATCAGCTGGTAGAGAAACTTGTCTCTGGTTTTGGTGGTGGCAGTGTGTTGTATGGCAGATGCTTTTCTGTGCTGATGCTTTTTAGAGACACATATTCAGTGAGCCTTCAGAAGTACTCACCCCAAAGATTTTTGGGGTGGCAGTGACCTTTCTTGTTGCTACTCCTATGATTAGCACCAGTTGAACTTTAGCCATTTTGTAAAAGCCAGTTCTTTCAAAGGTGGTCTCCAGTGTCTGGCAAAGCCAGGGTGAGCTGTGTTGCAGCAGTGCTCATTTGCCCTTTGTAATTTTTTTTTTTTCCTTCTCCTTGCTGACTGCTGGGTTTAGAGGTTGCTGAAACCCAGAGAGCCTGCCAGCAGAAACAAGATGAAAGATGAAGTAACCTGAGGGATGTCACACACTGTGTAAGGGGCAAATGCAGCTCCACAGTCCTGCCTTAGTTGTACGTCCACAAAATCTGGCTTCCAAAGCTAAATGACTGAGCTAGCCAAGGCAAGTAACTTCCTGCTCAGAATGACAGCCAAGCAAAAGGGGATGGGGCGGGGGTATGAAAAGCAGCTTTTTCCTAAGGTCAGTTCACAAGAGTTCATCTGCCTGCTGTGGAAGTGCACTGGTTATGCAGTGCAAAAAGTATATATTGTAGTGAATGTGGTAACATGCAAACTAAGCAGGGAAATTGGTTAAAAACTTTTCTCCTAACCCAGGTAACATGTGCTCTGTTAAAATGATAGGTTTTCCTTACAAAATCAGAATGCTTTGCACGTAGTAATCTTGGTTTTCTTGAAGCCCCTTTCACGAAGTTACCGCAGAAGTGACACTGACGTGCCGATGTCAAACACGTCTCAGCCTGGGAGGCAGGTTTGGACTCTGATGTTGCGCCAGGAACTTTTCCTTTAAGGGAGTGGGAAGCAGAGATGGGCTCTTGCCTCTGTCCCTCCAGGGCGGTGGCTGCAGACGGGTCAGCCGGGAAGGCACTGCTGCCAGCCAGATGGCTGCGGAGAGCAGCTACTGCAGAAGCAAACACGTGCGCTTGTATAACCACCATGGCTGAGTGAGCGCTTGCCTTTTTCTGGGGCCAGGTTCAGCTTTTCAAACCTCTTCAGTCGTGTTTGTCTTGAACCGACTCCAGCTGGAGCTGAGCAAAGGGTCAGCTGGCGGAGGTCTCCTCGGCGGTGGGAGCAGAGCCAGCTCCTGACGGGGAACGCGGTGTGAGCTCAGCGTTAGCGGGGCTTGCTTTAATTCAGCTGCTCTCCCCCTCCACTCCTGCAGCAGGACCAGGCTGTTTCCCTCTCAGCTTTGAAAGGCCAGCCTGGCCCTCTGCTCCCTGCGATAGGTTGTGAAGCGGGGATCTTGCCTTCTGTGCTCAGAGGCTCCTGCACCGCAGTCCCCAGTGTCAGATCACGCTGCACTCGCCCACGCTTAAAGGGATAGAGGTGAGAAAGTCCCTCCTGTTGTGCCAGTGCCTTGCTCCCTGTTACCCTCCTACCCCTCTGATACCCAGCTTTATGCCCTCAGCCTTCTGGCTCTGGTGCCCTGGAGCCTGGATGGCGCTCGGGAGAAGGGTGATGGATGGTCAACTGACAGTCAGGGCCGTATTTCCAGTGTGGCGTCTCCACAGCTGGCGCTGGGGTCAGTAAATGCTTTGTCCTGCTGAACTGGTTTTGGCTGAAGGCCGAGGGTGGGCAGGAGACCCCCCAGTTAAAGGGAGCAGGTGGTGTCTTTCATCTCTTGGGTGGCTTTTGGGCTGTTCACCATCCACACCCTGTAAGATCCTCTCCCCTTCCACTGTTCCCCCTCCTGCCTACCCCCCAGAAAAATCTGACAGAAGAGGCCAGTTACCAGGAAAAGCCATTAGGATCCCGCTGGGGTAATAAACCTCCCCCGTTTTACTGCAAGGAAATAAAATACTGTAAAGACGGCGTTTCCCCAGGTCCTCCTCCACCCCACGCCGCCCCTAGGGCGGGTGAGCCTTTCCAGAAAAGATCCCTCCGACCTTCTTGATGCCAGTGGGGGTTCCCCCCCCCCCCGCAGGATGCGAGACGATGCTGCAAGGGCCCGTTGGTTGGGTCACCTCCCGGCGGGGGCGGGCCCGGGGCGGGGCGGCCCGGCCCGGTCCCGCCCGGTCCCGCCCGGTCCCGCTGACAGCGCCCCGCTCCCGCCTCATGGAGCCGCGCGGGCACGGCTGCCCTGGCAGCGTCCTCTTCGGTGAGCGGCACCCGGGGGGGGGCGGCAAGGGGAGTGGGGGGCACGGGGAGGGGGCAGGGGGAAGAAAATACACGTGGAGGGGGTAATAAATGGGGGGCGGAAGAGACACGGCGTGGGTAATGTGGAGGTAGGGGAGGGAGAGACACGTGGGGGCAAAAAATGAGGAAGAGAGAGAGTTTGGGGGATAAGGGGGACGGGGGGGAGGCAGGAAAGACACGTGGGTGAGGAATAGACCGGGGGGGGGTTGGGGAGCAGAGGGACGCGTGGGTCTGTAGGAACACGTGGAGGGCGTTACTGAGGCCTAGGGGGTACTAGACGTGCGGGGGGGGGGGGGGAGGGACTGGGCAGAGACACATGTGTGTGTGTCTGGGGCGTGGGGTGACTGCGACCAGCGAGGCCCTGGAGTTTGGGGAGCGGGAGCCGGGGCAGGAGGACACGCGTGTGGCCGGGCTTGGGAGGGAGTGGGGGCGTCCTGGGGAGGTTTAGGGGGAGCTGCGTGGGGTCTTGGGGGTGCAGGGGACGGGAAGAGACTGGGAGCAATGGGGGGGGGGGGGCGGCGGCGGCGGCAGCCCCCGGCTCTCGCCGGCCTCTCCCGCTTCTCCGCTCGATCCCCCGCGCTTCCACGTCAGCGTGTCGTGGGCGCCCTTCGCGGGGCGGCAGCGCCGTGTCCCTCCTCTCGGGGAGGGGTTTCGGCTGGGGCTGTTAAACCCCGCAACACGTGGCCCTGCGCTTCTCCTAAACGTGTGTGGGAGCAGGCGCGGACACACGTGTCCCGGGCTGCTCCCGGCCCAGCGCGGCTCCACGCAGGCTTCTGCGGGGAAGTGGAGCAGCCGCCGCCGCTCCCCCCGCCCGGCCTTTTCGTGCACCTGGATTTCGGTCCTTGCCCTGGTGGGCTGAACGCCCAAGCACGGTTAGAAAGGGGTCCTGCCGCGGGCTGTGCTTGCTGAGGCTAATTCCTCTCCCTCCGTTGCATGTGCAGGGCTCGGCTCTGTGTTTTTTCTATCTGCTTCACATTGGTGAATCATCCTGCAACAAGCCAGCACACCCAGGGCTCTCTGCCTTTTCTTCCTTCCCATGGTCAGCTGAATCCTGATCCTAAGAGCTGAGGGCATAATTTTGTACCTCCCTTGGTTTTTTTTATCTGTTTGGAGAAGTACGTAATAAGATCTGTCTCAAGACTTGTCTTGAGGGACTCCAGCTCCCTGAAGCCTGGCGCAGCGTCCTCCCTTCACTTTGTGCCTCATCACTCAGGTCTCGCGCTCCGTGTCTGTGCCCCACTCTCACCAGCGCAAACATTTCACTGATGCTGGCGAGAGCAGAGCCACCTTTCTGTCTGCCGCCTCTCCTGTTGACCACAGCCGTGTGCCTTGGCTGTGCTCCTCTCTGGAGGGGATGAGCCTTGCCCTGCCTGTGCTCGGGGGCCGTGGGTGCCCCGGGGCACTGCTTCGCAGCAGCCCAGTTTGGGGACACCAGGTTTTGCCCCTGTATGGTGCTGACCCAGGTCTATACTCCAGGACGATATCCTGGAGCCCAGGGTGCCCTGGCCTGAGGCTGCTCCTGAGCATGAGAAAATAAAGTGTTTTAGGGATGCCGTGCTGGGGGCCATCCTGGGAACCCTTCTCCCGTGGTGCCTGGGGCTGCATAATGCCTGCTGCAGCTTTTCTGTTCTCCTCTTTCCAGGCTGTGAGCTGACTGCCAGCACCAAATCCTACACATTTCAGGTGGATGAGGGAGATGACTCTGACCACATTTTGGCCCTGTCTGTGGTAAGGGAAATGAGAACTAACTGTGTGTGTCCTCTCCCATAGTGGCCCACAGCCTCACCCCCCCCTACCCAGGCTCTTCTCCCTTCCCTGGCCAGGCTGGGCCAGGGGAACCCTTGGCTGAGGTCTGAGTACTGGCAGCTCTCGGGGCAGGACATGAGGCTGTCACGTTTACCCATTGTATGGAGGTGCTTGAGCAAAGCCAGTGGTGGCAAGAGGCTGCTCAGCAGAGGAATTCTCTAAGCATGGTATGAAGGAAAGTATTTTTTCCTTGTATTTGACCTTGCTGGAGCCTCCCACTAGAACATGCCCTCCTCACCAGCTGGGTCTCTTGGCTTGTTGCTCTCCAAGTCCAGCTAGATGCAGGGCTTCATTCCTGGTTCTCCCAGGGGGTCACTTTCTGTCCTGGGAGCACAGGACCTGCCAGCACAGATCAGATCAGCAGAAAATGCAGCCCAGGTGCCATCTCTTGAGACGGTTGCAGGAACAGCTGTCCCAGCTGGGAAAGACACACAGCTCCTCTGCAGGCACTAAGGGGACAGCGGGGTCTCCCTGTTTTGTGGAGCAGCATCCTCCCACCTTGCATGGCAGCTGGGCTGGTAGCATTGTTGTGAGTCACTTGTCCCATGGAGAGCCCTGGCTCTCTCTGCTGTGTCCCCTGGGAGAGCTCACGACCTCTGTTCCCACGCAGGTCTGCCTCACAGATGGTGCCAAGGACGAGTGCAACGTGGTAGAGGTTGTTGGGAGAAACCATGAGAACCAAGAGATTGCTGTGCCTGTGGCGAATCTGAAGTTGTCATGCCAGCCCTTGGTAAGGAGTTGTTTTGAAGACTCGGGTGGGGGTGGCTGCAGGGAACTAGCCATATCTGGATCTTTGTGAACCTTTCTCCTAGGATCCCGACCATGAGCTGGTCTGCAGCTCACAGGGAAATGCCCTGGGTAGCCTTGGCCTTGCTGCAGGTGCCCCCAAAAGGACATGTTTAACAGGGCCGGGTGCCATGCCAGGGACTGCAGGACATTCTACTTTTTGCCTCTGCCCCTAACTCGGCCTCCACCTCTGTCTCGTTGCAGCTGAGTCTGGACAACTTCAAGCTACAGCCTCCAGTGACTTTCCGCCTGGCAGCGGGCTCTGGCCCAGTACACCTTGCTGGCTGGCACCAGATTGGTAAAGACTTGTGTGTGGGAAAAGGCTTGGGAGGAGCAAGGGGTATGGAGGGGCTCCCTCCAGCAGAAAAGCTGGCCGGGGAGCCCCTGGGAAAGGCTCTTGGTGCTGCCCAGCACGTGTGCTCAGTGCCTCCTTTGTGCTGGTTCCCCAGGGGCCGTCTCCATGCAGGGATTCCTTCCCTGCCATAAAGCCACGCATGGGAAAAGGGGTCTGGATGACCCACACTGTCCCCTTTTCCCATGGCTGGCTGTCACCATACCCCTCTGAGATCTCCCTCCGGCTGGCATACAGCTTATTGCCAACAAGCTGCTGCTAAAACTGCTCCAGTGCTCCTTGGGCTGCTCTGCTCTTGGAGTGTCTTGGGGGCCAGTTGTATTTGCAAAGACATACGTTAGTGAGTAACAGAGTTATTTGTGTGTCCCAGTGCACAGGGAAGATGCTTCCTTTGAGGAGGATGATGACTTGTCTGAGGAGGAGGAGAAGCAGCAGCTTCCTCCTATCATGCCAGCCAAGAAGTAGAGGAGGAAGCAGTAACTTATCTTCAGGCAAGGTGAGGGACCAGGCAGCCTTGGAGGAAGGGTCCAAGTAGCTGTGACGCTGGTGTGGCAAGCGTGGGTGGGAGGTGTTCTGCAGGAGGCTGCTGGTCTCAGTCTGGTTCTTCCTCCAGGTACTCATTGGGACTTCTTTCCCTGGATGACTTTTACCTCGGACACCTCTTGCCAGGACCTCAACGTTTGCTACTTTGTTTTTTTGTTTGTTTAGGTTTTTGGTTTTTTTTTTTTGTAACTTTTTTGGGGAGCAGAGGCTGCTCCCAGCACTGGGGTGTCTTCTTTCCCACAGCCCTGGGAGGTTGATCCCAAAACTGAATGGATGCTGCTGGTATATCCCCCCTCCTCCATCCCTGTGCTGGGAGTTGGGGATGGAGGAGGTGATTCTCGTCCTGTGCCTTTATGCTGTCCTGGACCTTTGCTCAGTGCACCCCCTCTCCCTGCCTCTGAAATACCCTGTCTTGGCCACTTCCCCAGCAGATGGAAGTAAAGTCAGCAGTGGAACAGGCAGTTTTACTGATTCTAGTGTGTTTTCTTTTCTTTACTCACAATTTGGTGGGTTTTATGCACTTGGAATTGTGAAACTGGGGCCCAGGCTGTGTCCTCGACTGCAGATATGGTAGGGTGGGAGCTCACGGCTTATCTGTGATTTGAGGAAGATTCTGGGTCAATCTGTTTTGTAAAGAATAGTTTTTGCACTCTGAATAAAGGTCTTTTGGGCATCAGGTCTGGAGGGCAGTTGCTGCTGGCTGGCAGGTTCGTCTCGTGTGCACTTCTGTGGGAGATGCTCCTTCATGTCCAGTCCCTGACACTTGCTTCCCTTGGTGATGCTGCAGAGCTCCTGGAAAGGACCTGGGAGCTCCTCTCCCTTGTGGACTCTGCATACTTGTGCCCCTTAAGGCAGCTCAGCACTGCATCCAGGTTACCACGTGAAGGGGCAGAGTTGCAGGCAGCTCTATGGGGCAGGGAACCCCCCCCGGTTTGGGCCACACTGGCCCTGGCGCTGGGTGCTGTCACAGCAAGCAAGGTCCTGGCTTGTGTTTTGTTCTCAGCCCAATACCATGCTATGGAGGGGTGAAATGCCAATGCCTGCAGGGTCTGAGACAGGTTTGATCTCTGACCTTTGCTGGGGAATTGTGTCCCCACTGTGCCTGGGTACCTGGGGAGGGTTTGATCCTTTCTGCCCTTCAGTCAGTGACACTTCTTGCCCCTGAGGGCTGGTCCTGTCCTTAAATGTTTTTCTGGTGGTTTCCCTGCATCCAATCTTGCATACCCAGCCCATGGGTCAGTGCCTGTACAAGTCCTCCTTGTTTGTGACATTGGCTGTTGTCCCTGAGAAGCACCATGTACTGTTCTGCTCCGCTCACCCTGTTGGTGCCCTGGGACAGTGAGTTTCTCGATTGCATGGCCCCCGCTAGGAAATCCTCCAGGCCGGATCCTCAGCTCAGGCTCCGACCTAGGTCGTTAGCGGGGCTGTTCCTCTCCTGTGAGGCCTGTGCAGCTCCTCTCCACCTCCCCACTGTTTCCTTCTTGGCCCCAAACAGCTCTTGACCGGCACGGGGAGGTTTTGATGCCCCTTGCAGCAAAAGGGAAAGGACTTGGCATCCCAACCCCATAGCATGGGACGGTGCCTGCCGGGGAGGCACCAGCGGACAGAGGAGAGGCGGCCTGGGGGGAGACGAACCCCCTTGGCTGGTGCATGGCACCCCGCAGCAGCACGGGGTGCGGGGGGGGTGTGCCGGGGGGGCTGGGAGAGGCGGCGGGGAGGTCCCGGTACCTGCCGGTGTGGCGGGAGGCGGCGGGTCCCGGCGCGGGGACCACTAGGTGGCAGGCGGGGAGCGCGGGGGGAGCGGGGGGAGCGGGCGCGGTCCCCCCCCTCCCGGCCTCGCTCCCCCCCCCTACCCCCCCCCGCTCCCCCTGCCCAGCCTGCTTGGCTCTGAACCTGCAGGGAGAGCCCGCGCCCCCGGGGGAGCATCGTTCCTCCTGCCATCCCGGAGCAGTAGGGTGCTGGGGGCTGGCGGTCTGCGCCCACGCCCACGCGCACTGGGAGATGGCCTCACCAGATCTCATTGCCCTGGGGCAATCGGGCAGCCTTGCCGAGGGAAGAGGGGTGGGAGCATCCTCCCCGAGGGCTGGATGTGCGTTTGAGAGGTGCTGGTGCGGCACAGCACGGCGGTGCCTTGTTCTGATGGTGCGGGAGGGGAGCTCCGGGCGGTGAAAGGAACTGGGGCTGCGCGGGTGCCAGGATGGTGCCCAGCCCCCTGCAAGGGCCGGCACACACAGGACCTCGCAGGTCTCCCTGGCTGTGTGCGCGCAGAAGAGGTCGGGGCTAATTTATCTGCTGGGCCTCAGTCCTGGTTGCTCTCCACAGAGGAGCTGTTTGGCTCGGGGGAGATAAGAGCCAGTAGATGATTTTTAACAGGGTGCTCCTGGAAAGGGTGGGCTGGGGGAGGTGTCTGGCTCAGAGCCCGGTGGAGGGTGATGAGGAGAGGGAGTGGGCACAGCTCGGCCCTGGCAGGGTGGTACAGCTGCTTCACATGGCGTGGGAGAGGCAATGCTGGCTGATGAGAAGGAGCATTTTGCCTCTTAAAAGGTAGGAGGGGTACTAGTTTCCTTAGGGCTGTCTAGGTAGCTGGGACAAGGGGCTGTGGCAGGAGGGACAGTCCTATCAGGGGGAAAAGGTGGCACCATGGGGGACATGGTGCTGGTGGCAGGAGGCTTGAGGAGACCAAGCTTGCCTAGCCCAGCCCAAGGCCTTGCCATGAGTGCTGCCTGGTCCCCAGCACTGCTGGAGGGCGATCCCGGGGAAGAGGCAACACCCCAACCCCAGAGGGGGCAATGGAGGGGATGGCGGTGTTGGCACCACCAGGCCCGTTTCTAAGTGACTTGGGGAGGTTTGTTCCCCCCTCCCCAGCAATGTCACAACCTTGATGTGCTCAGATCGGGGAGAGGGAGATAAATGCTGAGATGGCAGGAGGCTGGGAGGGGGGATGCGCTCACACACAGTGCTTAATGGGGAAGGATGGGATTACAGGGGTCACGCTAGGTGAGCAGCTTCCTTCGCCGAGCTGATGGTATCAAAGCAGGTGCCCCCGGCTGCAAATACCTTGGGCAAACAAACAGGGCTGTCTAAGAGCAGGTGAGCTGGGGCATGGCCGGGCTGGGGGGTGCTCAGGGGTGGGGGGGGGTGGGGGGCAGGAGGTTCCCTGTGTGTGGGGAGTGAAGCGTGGGGCTCCTGATGTGAGGGATGCCTTGTTTTGCATAGGGTGAGGGGGAAAATGAAGTTGTGTGTCTATGTACATACAGCTCCCCATGCTGGAGATATATGTAAGGGTGCGAAGCCTGCTGTTCTCCCCTGGGGTGGTGGTACCCAGGGATCCAAATGAGGCCCCAACCCAGGTGATGGCTCTGGGGTCACTCTGGGAGGTGGTTGGCTCTGAGCATCCCTCTTCTCTGTTGCGCTTCAGGGCACTGCATGCTGACATCGCTGGGGATGGATCCCTCCTGGCTTCTGCAGCACCAGGGAACTCTGACCCTGACTGAGCCAGGCAGCAGGGAAATGTGGCTGTAGCACAGCTCGATGTGGAGGTCACCAGGCATGAGCACCATGGCTATGCACCCACGCTTCCACGCTCTCCACAGCCCTCCTGAACCAGCCCGCTGTGCCAGGCGAGAGGCTTGGCCTGCCCGCTGCAGGGCAGTTGCAGCCTCACTGGGCTGGGACTTGGCTGCCTGCCTCCAGCCGGGTGGCTGGGCCGGGCTGGCGGCTCCCGGAGGATGCTCTGGTTTCAGAAGTCAGGTCTGAGTTGCTTTTTCAGGGATGGAGGAGCAGGATGGGGTGCTGCTCTTCTGAGCGTGGCCAAGCAGTGGTTTTCCTTATGATACCCCAGCTGGTCCTGCCCCAACGGTTTTCTTGCTGGGTTTCAACTCTCTGTAGCTGAGAACTCAGCCCCAGGGCAGCTGAGAGGCACAGCTGTAACCGTGCTGTAGGTGGGGCTGGTCCCCTGCTTCATGAGCTTTCTGTTGCTGGTTCCCACACTGAACTGGGGTAATACTGCTTTTCTCTGAGGCCTGGCTGCCTGGGCTATGGAGGAAGGTAGTGGGACACCCCTGGAGATGCAGCATGCCCCATTATCCCAGGGTGCGGCAGCTCTGCGAGGTGGGGCAGAGAGCTGTGGGGCGCATGGTGCCAACAGGAGCCAGGAAAAGGACCGGCAGAGCCACCCCCAGTCAGGATCACTCTGTTAGTGGGTGTGATGAGTGTCCTGTCCTCTGCTGTGCTATCCCTGTTCTGTCCTGCCGAGCAGTGGTCACAGGTACCTCTGCTATCTCCTCAGAGAGCCACCAGCACCCTAACACACAGGCCTGGCCCTGTCAGAGCTGAGCCGGGGACACACTTCAACTGAGAGAGGAAGCAGCAGGATCTGGAAGGGCCAGGCTGCTCGTAATTCCCATCCTCTTCCTGTCAACACGCCTTGCAGAGGGATAATGCTGTAGATGCGCCGTGTGGGAACAGCCCTGTCTGCTGGAGAAGCTGAAACTCATTCCTGGGGTCGTCTCCTGCTCCCTGGTGCTTGGTCATGTGCTGGGTCCTCCTTAGTGTGCCTCGAGCTGGCTGGGAGCCTGGATATGTGGATGTTCACCCCACCAACTGATCTGCAGGAGGAGAAGAGGCTCCTCCGGATCTTGACTCCACAGCGAGTGCCAGTGGCTGATTTACCACGGCTGGTCCAGGTTGCACATCCCGGCACAGGAGGTCGCTTACAGCCAGGCTCTGCTCCAGGCGTTCATAGGCTGCGACTGCTGCACAGTGTGTCTGCTTGCCGTGGGGACACGTGTCCCCAGCTCCACAGTGCTGCCTAGAATAGAAGAAGGGGTTGTTTCCATGAAGGTGCTGCTGCTGCGACAGCTATGGCATTATGGTCTGCAATGGGGACACAGGAGAAAGTACTGGAGGAGCACGGGGTGATGCCAGAGCTGGGGTTGTGCCATGAGTTGGGTTTAAACTCATAAAGCAGGTGCTAAAATTGAGCGTGGTTGGGCTGGGGTGGAGAGCCCCATGCAAGAGGGCCTGGGTGAAGCTCCATCGCAGCCATCCCTCACCATCCCCTCCCGCATCCCCAGCACAGCCTGCCTCGCCTCGCGTCAGGGAAGCATTAGCAGCTCCGTGCTCAACAGCCGCAGCCGAGATACCCCGAGGTCACAGGTGTCCTGGCCTTCGACCCCTCCGAGGCGTGAATCTAATCACCCTGGGCTGGGCTGTCCCTGACACTGGCAGGACTGTCACTGCTGGCCACGAGTCCCTGCCAGGCCCGGTGGCAGCTGGGGGGACTGTCTGCCCAGAGCAGCTCAGCTGTGTCCCAAGGGGATCTAGGATCTGCCGGAGGGATCCTCCCAGGGAGGCACTTTGCCGCAGGCAGAGCAGGGACCTCTCAGTCCCCTGTTCCCAACCACACTGGTTGGTGGCAGAGTCTTAGGCTGGATTTGGCCTCCATGGTGTCCTTACTGGTGATGGTTCTGCATAGGGGCTGTGGGACACCCTATACTCCCTTGATGCCACAAGTCCCTGCTCCCCCACCAGGCTCTCAGAGGGGTGGAGACCCCTGAGCTGCAGTGCCTGAGGTTTTTGGGGCTGGATAAGGAAGGTTGTTGCTGATGGGCAGAGCAGAGGATAAAGAGACAACAGGGGACAGGGATCTTGTCTGTGGCGGGTCTGCCCTGCTAT